ACCCAATGGAATACGGCCTCCAACCAAAGCGCCTCGGGTTGTTTGTATTCGTGACGGGATTCTATGGAGCAAGTAGCCGCTCTCAGTCAGCCTTTCTTAATAGCCTCTTCTGACATGCATGGTAAGTTACAACGCTGCTGTTCACTGCTCCCCCCCCCCTTCCAACCCCATCAGAGACTTACAAAACACACGGATGTCAGTTTGTACTGCACATTCCCTCTTTCAGGCTCAACATTGTCACTTCCTTGTACACGCCGCGGGTACACAAGAGTGAGGTCACTCAAAAACCAACACATGTTTACCTGTTCGCTCTCAGGGAGAGAGAGAGAGGAGAGAGAGAGAGGAGAGAGAGAGAAAAAGAGCAAAAAGCAGACGAGTGAGATAAGTGTTAAAACTTAATAAAGTCTGTATATGTTGGCACCGCTGCCGCTAGTCAATGTATCATGAATTATATATCATCTTTTCAACGGCGGCGTTTGATTAACATCAAGGAGAGTGCTGGCGTTCTTTCCCTGCAGATAAAGATGGCTTCAGGGAAGGGGGGAGGAGGCTGTAGAAATAAAATTCAGCTAAGAGGAATTTGGAAGCAGTTTAAAGTACACTCGGAGGTAAGTTAGTAATCCCTCCTTTTAAGGCTGATTCGTGTGCCCATTCGCTATTTTCGCAATATGGGTGTACTACACAATGTGTCTATAGTGCTTTTCAAAACGAACGCCCTAACATTTTAACAAATATCTCGAAAACTCCGGTAGGGATCAATTAAAATTATTGCCTTAGATTTCCCCTGTCCTTGTGACAGGTGCTGCAATTCTCTTCAAGCTGTGAATTGCTTTCATCGTCGTTTGTGTACACCTAATTTTTAAAAAATTTAAAAAAAGAATATACAGTAACTGACACAGGTGTGTCGATTGTCTGGAAATCAATTCGCATTTTCAGCGATGCGTAGAGATTATTGTGATAACCTATCCGTCATAGATCGAAAAATCCGCAACTCACGAGATATTAATGCTGGAGACGAGCACCTGAAACGACACAGATGCAATGTAAAGTTTTGAAAAGTTCCCAGTACTCAAAACTAAAGCCTGCTGGTTGTTTTCTTGAAATCGGTTCTGCTTTCTCCTGTGCCGCACATAAAACAACATGAACACTAAACGTTTGTTCACACTTGACAATAGTTGTTTACAAGGGCATGGTAATTAACGGGTGCAAGGCAAATTTCAATAACTGACACCCAACGGGTGACAGGGTTACAGATGTGTACAGCTGGACAAGAATTCTGGGACGGACTATAGGTGTCTGCAGGTCAGGATTGCCTTGAGGAAGTCTTTATTTAAGAGACCAGTTCTCTTCCTCTCTACCTGGCTCCTGTTGTCTGACATGGACAATCACGATGGGGATTACATACACAGATCATGAGATGGTACATGAGACTGCTTTTACATCCACATGTTTGCCGGCAAAACAAGACATACGTACACACACATACAGAGAGAGAGAGAGGGGGGAGGGAGAGAGAGAGAGAGAGAGAAAGGGCACGCAACATACACACACAGAGGTACACTACATACACTGATCGGTCTATCAAAGACATGTTTGCCGGCAAAACAATGCACACATACATAGAGAGGGGGGGGGGGGTACACAACACACACAGATCGGTCTCTCAAAGATATATTTGCGTTCAAACAATACACACACACATACAGAGCGAGAGAGAGAGAGAAAGAGGGAACACAACACAAACAGATCGGTCTCTAAAAGATATATTTGCGGGCAAACAATACACACACACATTCAGAGCGAGAGAGAGAGAGGGGTACACAACATACACAGACCGGCCTCTCAAAGATATATTTGCGGGCAAACAATACACACACACATACAGAGAGAGAGGAAAGGGGGGGGGGGGGGTACACAACACACACAGACTGGCCTCTCAAAGATATATTTGCGGGCAAACAATACAGACGCATATCAAATTTAGATCACTGTCGTTGTAACCATGCAGTCTAATTATGTGCGTAAGCACGTACATACAAATACTCCTCCCTACAATCACATACACACTCACACTCGTGTATTTACAAACTATGTACTTAGAGCCGGATATAAAACGTACTGCACTGGCGAAGTAACAAGTGTGTACAGAGAAGTGCACACACATGTAAACACACACACACCTACATATATTTTTCATTTAACGTGTGTTGTTATCTACTCACTGAAGATAATGATGATGACGACTGTGAGGGAGGAAGAGGGGATATCCAGGAAATGTGCCTGCGACCCCCAATTAGGAGGGAGAGAGAATCAACAGGTACTCAAGTCTATGTAGTCAGGAAACTCAAACACAATGAACTGATCAATGGTGTTGCTCTCACTGGTGGCAAACATGACATGTTATATTTGTCACATCCTCTCTCTCTCTCTCTCTCTCTCTCTCTCTCTCTGTCTCTCTCTCTCTCTCTCTCTCTCTGTGTGTGTATGTGTGTGTGTGTGCTTGTGTGTGGTGTGACTTGTTTGGTACATACGTAAGTGTGTAGTGGTGATACGGCGGCCACTATATTGCAGAAAGCAATCAAACGAAAGAAATATATCTTATGATGTTGAGACAAACAGCAGACAAGTGAGTAGAAACATAGACAGAAATCATGCAGACAAATGGCCGACAGCCACAATGACAGACATAAAAAGTAAGCAAGGAGGCAGACAGATATAGAGGCAGAGTGCTAAATAAGCAAGAAAAAAAATATAAGAGACAGACATGCAGACAGACAAGTAAAACGAAGACAGATCGGCAGGCCATCAGGAAGACAACCAAGCACAGTGACAGAAAACAGACGCATAGCTAAAAAAGAGGGAGGGGTGGGGGAAGGAGAGAGAGAGAGAGAGAAAGAGAGAGAGAGAGAGAGAGAGAGAGAGAGAGAATACAGATGTGTAAATGGACACAGACCGAAAGACAAAGAACAAAGATACACCGGGAAAATATAGAGCAGCAAACGGTCTGAAACTGTCACGGCGTCTAGAATATAGTCCTAGACCCATGTCTCTACAGACCAGTCGGCAATCGATGGGTGACTGCTCAAACCTGCCCGCCGCCTTTAACCTCCTATGACATCTCCCGGTACCCGTGTAACTTCTAGGTCGACTTGGGACATTAGCTCAATTATACCAATTCGTGTGCGGGTGTGAAATCAAGACTTCTAGACTGACAGGCAAATGCCTAGCCATTGTGCTAGCAAGAGGGAGTAGATAGCAGACAGACAAGTAACACAACAACACGGATGACTCACCTCCTCGTAAAATTTGAGCTGTGGCACAGGTTGGTCGTAGACATTTTCACAAAAATCTTTGAATAATAAAAATCCTGTGGAGATCAGAGGAGAAATAAGGAAACATGAACATGTTATTTCATCAATGACTATTGCTGGCCCCTTCATTAACTCGGGTTCCAAGTTAAGTAAGGGAACTGCGTGGTCTCCATGCATGGTGTCCGCCTCGATTGCTAGAGGTTCCGGAGTCAATCCCCGGTAAGGGCTGAGATTTTTTTCCGTGGACTTTGACTTCTAGAAATGTCCCCCTGGTCTCTGGGTAGTGAGATCAGACACCCGTGTGCATTGTTGTGCATGTAAAAAAATCCCTTGGCCGCTGGAAATCGAAAAGAGTAGCCTAACGGTGCTGCCATCCCACTGATATTTAGATACTTAACTGCCAGCTGCCGGCCAGTGCTGCCACTTTGGATTTTTTACATCCAGATTTAGATGCTTTCCCTTGCATTTAGATGGCGTTTTTAGAAGTTTAGATGGTAGATGTTTTTCATTTGGAGTGAATTTATCAAATATAACCTAAGAAAAATGCCATCTTGACAATAAAATTCGGCCTGATAAGAGTAGGAAAGGGCTGTTCCACTTATCAGCTCCCTGATTAGGTATTAAAAGAAATTTGAACAGCTGAAGCATACCAGAGTCATTTTGGATCTGAAGCTTCATCATCCAAGCTAAGTTTATCCTATGGATCTTGTAAGGCAGACATCAGTAAAGATTAGGACATGATTCTATAGGGTAAGTCATATCAATTGCTATGTAATTTGTGACTCTTTCCAATTAGATGTTTTTTCTAGATGTTTTCCACGCAAATTTAGATGTTTTTAGACATTTTTGACTCCGTTTTGGACGTTTTTTGCCAAAGAAAAGTGGCAACACTGCTGCCGGCAACTGTTTCTTTTGTTATTTGACGGTTTGTTTTATGTTGTATTTAATGTGGGTGTTTTTCTTCAAGTTCTAACAGTGCTTGGGATTTGTCTGTTCATCCTCCTCTGTTTAATGACATTGTTATGTCGGGGCGGTCTAGCCTTATCCTCAAGGGGGCGCTTTCCTAAATAATGCTGCAGACCACTGATCAGTCTGCCTGGCAGACAAGCATCTAAGAACTGTGCTATAAGACGGGACTGGCAGACAAGCATCTAAGAACTGTGCTATAATACAGGACTGGCAGACAAGCATCTAAGAACTGTGCTATAAGACAGGACTGGCAGACAAGCATCTAAGAACTGTGCTATAAGACAGGACTGGCAGACAAGCATCTAAGAAGTGTGCTATAAGATGGGACTGACAGACAAGCATCTAAGAACTGTGCTATAAGACAGAACTGCTAGACAAGCATCTAAGAACTGTGCTATAAGACGGGACTGGCAGACAAGCATCAAAGAACTGTGCTATAATACAGGACTGGCAGACAAGCATCTAAGAACTGTGCTATAAAATAGAATTGGCAGACAAGCATCTAAGAACTGTGCTATAAAATAGGACTGGCAGACAAGCATCTAATAACTGTGCTATAAGATGGGACTGACAGACAAGCATCTAAGAACTGTGCTATAAGACAGGACTGGCAGACAAGCATCTAAGAACTGTGCTATAAAATAGGACTAGCAGACAAGCATCTAAAAACTGTGCTATAAAATAGGACTGGCAGACAAGCATCTAAGAACTGTGCTATAAAATAGGACTAGCAGACAAGCATCTAAGAACTGTGCTATAAAATAGGACTGGCAGACAAGCATCTAAGAACTGTGCTATAAGACGGGACTGGCAGACAAGCATCTAAGAACTGTGCTATAAAATAGGACTGGCAGACAAGCATCTAAGAACTGTGCTATAAAATAGGACTGGCAGACAAGCATCTAAGAACTGTGCTATAAAATAGGACTGGCAGACAAGCATCTAAGAACTGTGCTATAAAATAGGACTGGCAGACAAGCATCTAAGAACTGTGCTATAATACAGGACTGGCAGACAAGCATCTAAGAACTGTGCTATAAGACAGGACTGGCACACAAGCATCTAAGAACTGTGCTATAATACAGGACTGGCACACAAGCATCTAAGAACTGTGCTATAATACAGGACTTGCACACAAGCATCTAAGAACTGTGCTCCCATGAACAGCAAAACAACCCCGCAGGAGTTTTTTTTTTTTTTCAGAAGAAAACTCAACCATTTCTTACATGAACCACTGGCACACAGCTTCTGATGGCAGGTTACAATACCAAAATTTCTGGTGGCAGGTCACACCCACAGCCCTGGGTTAACTGCGAGCCCGGGGTGTGAGGTGCAGGTGTCATCTGCCGTACATACACCAAACAGCTCACTGGAGCCACAGACAGCACACCTAGCCATCTGGCTCTTGTAGAATATTGCTGCCACTTGTACCCAATTACAAGCAATAGCGACGACAAGTGGAGGGATCCCTCAGGCTTTTCAACAGAGTGACAAATTAATTTGTTTCTGTTTTGCAAGAGCTCACAGTAGAAATCTCAGTAGGCAAATCACTTATGGCAAATCATGAGTGCAGTATTTGAAGTAGACAGTGGCAATGATCACCAGAAGCCAGAATTCTTTATTGATTTGTCAAATGTTTAAAAAATTAAAAAAAATAAAAAACAGAATATATCAATAAATCTCTAAGATTCAAGAGGAAAGCCCAATCATGTAAATGTTGTGTTGCATGGAAGCTGAAAGATCAGTTATTTGTCACCTCAAACTCAGACATCAAGATCTCCAGCTCAACAGTCCTCATTGTCCTGTCCATGACATTTGTAATTGTTTCATACAGGACAGTCAGATAAAGACAAGAATAAATAACTGAATTTGACGAGAAAGGAGCACACAGGTTTCACAGAGACAAGATCAAATAAGATACTTCAGGCAACAGAGCAACAACAACAACAAAAGTCATGTTAAAATGGTGTTGTCCTCAACTCAGCAACACATCTCATCATAAATGGTACTTTCCTCAATTCAGCCCCACATCTCATCATAAATGGTACTTTCCTCAATTCAGCCCCACATCTCATCATAAATGGTACTTTCCTCAATTCAGCCCCAAATTTCATCATAAATGGTACTTTCCTCAATTCAGCCCCAAATTTCATCATAAATGGTGCTTTCCTCAATTCAGCCCCACATCTCATCATAAATGGTGCTTTCCTTAACTCAGCAACACATCTCTTCATTAATGGTGCTGTCCTCAATTCAGCAACACATCTCATCATAAATGGTGCTTTCCTAAATTCAGCAACACATCTCATCATAAATGGTGCTTTCTTCAACTCAGCAACACATCTTATCATAAATAGTGCTGTCCTCAGCTTAGCAACACATCTCTTCATAAATGGTGCTTCACCCAACTCAGCAACACATCTATTTATAAATGGTGCTGGCCTCAGCCACACCTCTTCATAAATGGTGCTTCCCTCAACTCAGCAATAGATCTCTTCATAAATGGTGCTGTCTTTAACTCAGCAACACATCTCTTCATAAATGGTGCTGTCCCCAACTCAGCAACACATCTCTTCATAAATGGTGCTTTCATCAACTCAGCAACACATCTCTTCATAAATGGTGCTTTCATCAACTTAGCAACACATCTCATTGTAAAAACCCTAGAGGACACTTCATGTTCACCAAAAGTAAGCTCTAGTGGAAAGTTTTGGGTGTTCGTCCACCTCCAGATTTAGTCTTCTTCCAGAAACTGAGTGTTGCTTCCACATCCATCTTACAGATCTGGCTTATTTGTATGCAGACTCTTGGATCCTTGCCTCTCAGGTAGATGTACTCTTGACTCTGAAGGATGCCCCCCAACTGGTCATCTTCTATGACATGCTTGTTGGGGGGAAGGCAGTGGGTCTGTTACTGTTTTCCTACAGTGCGGCTCTGGAATCCACACTGGGTAAGAAGGGAAGAAAAATAAACGAGAACACACCAGATTTGTGAACAATAAAAACATCTGCAAGTGAAACTATCATCCTGCTTTAATGGTATCAAGCAATTTGTAACTTCTGGAGAGGGTGAACAGCATTTGTAATACTTGATGACAGTTGGACTGACATCCAGGAAGTGACTCTCTGAGTCGCTGGGTTGTAGACACTTTTAGGCAGCAAGTTGGATGGACACAAAAGGCAGACAGCAGAAACATTGGGTTAACCACACTCAACTCCAGTTCAGCTCTCTAAACACTGAACTAACCAGACTTAACTCCAATTCAGTTCTCTAAACACTGACCTAACCACACACAACTCCAGTTCAGTTCTCTTGAAACTGGGTTAACCATACTTAACTCGAATTCAGATCTCTTAACACTGGCCTAACCCCACTCAATTCTTATTTAGTTCTCTAAACACTAGCCTAAATCAACTCAATTCTAATTCAGTTCTCTAAACACTGGCCTAAATCAACTCAATTCTATTTCAGTTCTCTAAACACCGGCCTAAATCAACTCAATTCTAATTCAGTTCTCTAAACACTGGCCTAAATCAACTCAATTCTAATTCAGTTCTCTAAACACTGGCCTAAATCAACTCAATTCTAATTCAGTTCTCTAAACACTGGCCTAAATCAACTCAATTCTAATTCAGTTCTCTAAACACTGGCCTAACTAAACTCAATCCCAATTCAGTGCTCTCAACACAGGGCTAGTCACAAAGTCAAACAGTGGCAGGTAGCCAATGAGTAGAAGTGTTCCTGTTCCTAAACTGTAGTGGCTGAAGTACATGCCTTCATTTGCTTCAATCTTTCAATTAACACAGAAACAAATATTAAAAAGAAACAGAAAAGGTGCCAAGAATTGTGAAGCAAATCTGTTTAAAACTAACAAAACAAAAACATGCCACGTACCCAGTCTCTGATTGAAGATCTTGTCAAAAGTGACTTCGTTAACTTTTTGAAGATGTTTGTGCATGATACTGCGAACACTGGAGAGGCAAAACAGAAATGTTCATTATTTCAACCAGCTTTAAGCAGATCAACACGGGCTTACCATCTGTCCTAGCCTGTTATGAGAGGAAGTAGACTGTGTACAGTGACTGGCTTAGGCTGGGTGCTGAATGTATTCCAGGATGTTCCTCATGTGTCATAAAAACCTAGTTCTGTAGACTAAATCAGGTGCTAGACTTTTTTCACATCCATAGCTTATTGGGCGTATGATGCTAGTCAAATATTTTAGATCCACGTGTGAGTTCCGGGGCCCTATTTTAGGGAAAACAAAAAGCATGTCGTAAGAGTTGACTGATTGGGAGCTTCCTTCAAAGTCGGAACGCATCTGCCTGAGAGGCAAGGAACTAACAGTCTGCACACAAATGAGTCAGATCTGTCAAACGGATGCAACACTCAGGTTCTGGAACAGGACTGCAGTCCAGAAGTGGACGAACAACTAGAACTTTCAACCAGAGTTTACAGCTGATGAATGCAAAGAAGAAGAAAAAGAAATATTGTAGACCTACTAACACTCGATGTGTGGTGGGGTCAACACCATGCTGGCCACCTTTTCTAAATCACAACCCACTGGATAATAATCCATTCCTAACCCATTCTACCACAACCCACTGGATCACAACTCATTCACAAAACATTTCATGACAATCAATTCCATCATAACTCACTGTATCACAACAACAGCAGCAACAACAACACATTTACACTCAAATGTCTACATGAGTATAAAAACCATTTGGACTCCACATCTATCTGAGCATGCTAACCAACTATACTCGTACATCTGTGTGAGTATGAAAACCATTAACACTCATACATCTATCTGAGCATGCTAACCAACCATACTCATACATCTATGTGAGTATAAAAACTACTCATACACCAATGTGAGTTTAAAAAGTATTTACTCTCATAAACATATATGAGTATAAAAGCCATTTACACTCATACACCTATGTGAGTATAAAACCATTTTAACTCATAAACGCATATATCTATGTAAGTATAAAAACCATTTACTCATTCATCCATGTGAGTATAAAAACCATCTAAATGCATACATCTGTGTAAGTATAAAAACCATCTACACTCATAAACATACATGAGTAATTTTAAAAATATATACGCATACATCTATGTAAGTATAAAAACCATCTACACTCATAAACCAATGTGAGTATAAAAACCATCAACACTCATAAACTAATGTTAGTATAAAAACCATCAACACTCATAAACCAATGTGAGCATAAAAACCATCTACACTCATAAACCAACGTGAGTATAAAAACTATCTACACTCATAAACCAATGCGAGTATAAAAACTATCTACACTCATAAACCAATGTGAGTATAAAAACTATCTACACTCATAAACCAATGTGAGTATAAAAACTATCTACACTCATAAACCAACATGAGTATAAAAACTATCTACACTCATAAACCAATGTGAGTATAAAAACTATCTACACTCATAAACCAATGTGAGTATAAAAACTATCTACACTCATAAACTAATGTGAGTATAAAAACATCTAGACTTATACTTCTATGTAAGTATTAAAAACAAAACCATTTCCACTCATACATCTATGTGAGTATAAAAACCATTTCCACACATACATCTATGTGAGTATAAAAACCATTTCCACTCACACATCTATGTGAGTATAAAAACCATTTACACTCATACAATGATGTGAGTATGAAAGCTTGTTTCAAAAAGCTGACTGCTGTTTAATTTTTCTTATTCCCATAACACAGTGTGTCACTGACTGACTGATCAAGTCTTTCCGACATTGACGATCAGATGTGGTGGAATTTTCTTTCATACTTGAGGTCATCCAGTCAGCAAAATTGTATAAATAGATCCTTGTTGGCTTGCCTCTGGTTTTCTTCCCTTACATCACACCCAGTCATACTCTTCTGGAAAGATCAGTAGATTCTGTTACATGTCCACACTAACAACTTGTGTCTCTTTAATGTTGTTTAATAATAGGATTCTGAGAACACTGGAGTACATCATGGCAGTGGTAATGTTGGGGGGGGGGGGGGGGGAGATGCTGAAGCAGACCATGAGAGTAGAAGCAGGACAATCTGACATGGCATGGAAGATCACCTGTGTCAGAACTGACTGACAGCACATGAGACAGAAGGTTGTGGACAGACATGACTACCAATGCCTCATGGCGTGGACTTTAAAAAAAAACGAAAAAGTTCTAATTTCAGATATGTTAAATATGCTCATTCACAGTGACAATTAATTTCATACACATACATGTTTCAAAGGTTTCAAAGCTACTAAACGTTGTTGGAGATGATCACAGGCTGTTGAGGATAATGAGGATCTGTTGATTGCCATGTGATGATGAATAAGAAATACTTGTTGCATTCATCACAAAATCAGTTGACACTAGTATATAGCACCTCTTCGGCTGAATCATTTGTTAAAAAAAGAACAACGCTAAAACACTAATGTAGAGTTATGGCAAGAACTAGTCAAATTATGTAAGAACTAGTCAAATTCTGTAAGAACAGGTCAAATTCAGCAAATCAAGAGGTAGGGAAAGTCACTGTGCTGTATGAGGTGGTTACAGCTCCAAAAAAAAAAAGTTTTCTTTTATCTAGTCAGGAAAAGTGGATGCACAAGGAAATGAGCAAACCGACAGATTAGGCTACTGTGGAGGGCACTGGCCAGAAGCAAGTGAGTACTGTGAATTCACACCTATGGTCAGAATGTAAGAACAGCAAGTTAAATTCGTTGTGGCTGAGGCCAAACAAGTGCACTAGACAAGAACTCAAAGAAGTATAAGAAATTAACACAGAACTGGTGTCATCAGCAGCTACATGCTGAGGGATTACTGATGGGGGGATGCAACAATTGATGGACTGATGAGGGGATGCAAGAGTTGATGGACTGATAGGGGATGAAAGAGTTTATGGACTGATAAGGGGATGCAAGAGTTGATGGACTGATGAGGGGATGCAAGAGTTGATGGACTGACGAGGGGATGCAAGAGTTGATGGACATGAGGGGATGCAAGAGTTGATAGACATGAGAGGATGCAACAACTGATGGACTGACGAGGGGATGCAAGAGTTGATGGACATGAGGGGATGCAACATTTGATGAACTGATGAGGGGATGCAAGAGTTCATGGACTGATAAGGAGATACAACAATTAATAGACTGATGAGGGGATGCAACAATTTATGGACTGATGAGGGGATGCAACAAATGATGAATTGATGAGGGGATGCAACAGTTGATGGACTGATGAGGGGATACAACAAATGATGAATTGATGAGGGAATGCAAGAGTTGATGGACTGATGAGGGATGCAACAAGTGATGGACTGATGAGGGGATGCAAGAGTTGATAGACATGAGAGGATGCAACAACTGATGGACTGATGAGGGGATGCAAGAGTTGATGAACATGAGGGGATGCAACATTTGATGAACTGATGAGGGGATGTAAGAGTTCATGGATTGATGAGGGGATGCAAGAGTTTATGGACTGATGAGGGGATGCATGAGTTGATGGACTGATGAGGGGATGCATGAGCTGATGGACTGATGAGGGGATGCATGAGTTGATAGACTGGTGAGGGGATGCAGGAGATGATGGACTGATGAGGGGATGGGGGATGCAAGAGATTATGGACTGATGAGGGGATGCAAGAGTTTTTGGACTGATGAGGGGATGCAAAAGTTGATGGACTGATGAGGGGATGCAAGAGTTGATGGACTGATGAGGGGATGCAAAAATTGATGGACTGATGAGGGGATGCAACAAATGATGGACTGATGAGGGGATGCAAGAGTTGATGGACTGGAGAGGGGATGCAACAATTGATGGACTGATGAGGGGATGCAAGAGTTGATGCACTGATGAGGGGATGCAAGAGTTGATGGACTGATGAGGGGATGCAAGAGTTTATGAACTGATGAGGGGATGCAAGAGTTGATGGACTGATTAGGGGATGCAAGAGTTGATAGACATGAGAGGATGCAACAACTGATAGACTGATGAGGGGATGCAAGAGTTTATGGACTGATGAGGGAATGCAACAATTGATGGACTGATGAGGGGATGCAACAATTGATGAACTGATGAGGGGATGCAACAATTGATGGACTGATGAGGGGATGCAAGAGTTGATGGACTGGTGAGGGGATACAACAATTGATAGAATGATGAGGGGATGCAAGAGTTGATGGACTGGTGAGGGGATGCAAGAGTTGATGGACTGATGAGGGGATGCAACAGTTGATGGACTGATGAGGGGATGCAACAATTGATAGACTGATGAGGGGATACAACAATTGATAGACTGATGAGGGGATGCAAGAGTTGATGGACTGGTGAGGGGATGCAAAAGTTGATGAACTTGTGAGGCGATGCAACAATTGATGGACTGATGAGGGGATGCAAGAGTTGATGGACTGATGAGGGGATGCAACAATTGATGGACTGATGAGGGGATACAACAATTGATGGACTGATCAGGGGATACAACAATTGATGGACTGATGAGGGGATGCAAGAGTTGATGGACTGATGAGGGGATGCAAGAGTTGATGGACTGATGAGGGGATGCAAGAGTTGATGGACTGATGAGGGGATGCAAGAGTTGATGGACTGATGAGGGGATGCAAGAGTTGATGGACTGATGAGGGGGTGCAAAAATTGATGGACTGATGAGGGGATGCAAGAGTTGATGGACTGATGAGGGAATGCAACACTTTATGGACCGATGAGGGGATGCAACAAATGATGGACTGATAAGGGGATACAACAATTGATAGACTGATGAGGGGATGCAAGAGTTTATGGAGTGATGAGGGAATGCAACAATTGATGGACTGATGAGGGGATGCAACAATTGATGAACTGATGAGGGGATGCAAGAGTTGATGGACTGGTGAGGGGATGCAAGAGTTGATGGACTGGTGAGGGGATGCAAGAGTTGATGGACTGGTGAGGGGATGCAAGAGTTGATGGACTGGTGAGGGGATGCAAGAGTTGATGGACTGATGAGGGGATGCAACAATTTATGGACTGATGAGGGGATGCAACAATTGATAGACTGATGAGGGGATACAACAATTTATAGACTGATGAGGGGATGCAAGAGCTGATGGACTGATGAGGGGATGCAAGAGTTGATGGACTGGTGAGGGGATGCAAAAGTTGATGAACTGATGAGGGGATGCAACAATTGATGGACTGATGAGGGGATGCAAGAGTTGATGGACTGATGAGGGGATGCAACAATTGATGGATTGATGAGGGGATACAACAATTGATGGACTGATCAGGGGATACAACAATTGATGGACTGATGAGGGGATGCAAGAGTTGATGGACTGATGAGGGGATGCAAGAGTTGATGGACTGATGAGGGGATGCAACAGTTGATGGACTGATGAGGGGATGCAACAGTTGATGGACTGATGAGGGGGTGCAAGAGTTGATGGACTGATGAGGGGATGCAAGAGTTGATGGACTGATGAGGGAATGCAATAAATGATGGACTGATGAGGGGATACAAAAGTTGATGGACTGATGAGGGAATGCAACAATGTATGGACCGATGAGGGGATGCAACAAATGATGGACTGATGAGGGGATGCAAGAGTTGATGGACTGGTGAGGAGATGCAAGAGTTGATGGACTGATGAGGGGATGCAACAACTGATGGACTTATGAGGGGATGCAAGAGTTGATGGACTGATGAGGGGATGCAACTACTGATGGACTGATGAGGGGATGCAAGAGTTGATGGACATGAGGGGATTCAACAACTGATGGACTAATGAGGGGATGCAAGAGTTGATGGACATGAGGGGATGCAAGAGTTGATGGACATGAGGGGATGCAACTACTGATGGACTTATGAGGGGATGCAAGAGCTGATGGACTGATAAGGGGATACAACAATTGATGGACTGATGAGGGGATGCAAAAATTGATATACTGATGAAGGGATGCAAGAGTTGATGGACTGATGGGGGATGCAAGAGTTTATGGACTGACTGGTTCGATGTGCGGTAAGGATGACCTGTGGACGCATCAACTAACTGACAGAAACTAAGACAGGGATTAGCAATATGAATAATTTGTTAAAGGACATGGAGGGTGCTTCAGGATATGGCAGAATGAAGGAAGGCTTTGCGGAGTTGATCACAGTCTATATTCTAATCAAGTAGTAGTAGTAGTGGTGGTGTTTGTTACTGTTAAAGAACAAGCCAATTGGCTTGCAGATGGGGGTTGAAGGGGGGAGGGGGTGATGATATTTCTGTTTCCGTTACTCCATCAAAAAGTAGAAATTATGCTGATGATAAATTTATCAATGCCTAAGGCAAGGCTCTTGAGAATCGTCTTCGGCTGCCTTCCTCTATCCCTTTTCATTAAGTGCGCCAGCTGTCACGGCAAGTTTTCAGTTGTCGTTTGTTTCAACGTAGCCACAACACGGTGCCTGCCGCAGTTATTAGTGCATACATCAAAATAAACATTGTAAACAACGTCACTGCCAAGACGTGTTTAACTGGTTTACACGAGAATGGTATACACATTTAGCTCAAATGAATGATAAAAGAGCCTACCTAGGATCGGGAAGGACGATTTTTTTGCTAGCCCTGGCAGCTGGAGTAGATTTACTCTTCTCCATAGCCATGAGGTAGCTGACATCAGCGAGCACAGCCTCTAAGTCGGCCATATTCCCGTCTCTACAGACCTAGCAGTGGCTGGCTAGAAGAAAACACAAACACTTTCCTCACTTATCCACACCATCAACGATATCCCACGCTCGGTCGTCCTTCTAAGGGTAAATCCGCATGAAACGTATCCATAATGTTAGTATCAACAAACGGTGTGAAGCGAGAAAGTGGCAACCAGAGGGCCGAGTCCAGCAGAAAACATCGGAGACGACACAACATGTAAATATTCATGAGTTCTGCAGGGGCCTCTGGGAAACCTGGCTTGGAATCCAGAACTGCCGCCATTGGGCGGAATATTTTTTATTTAATCGATATTCGTGTCTTTACTTCAGATAGGATTTTCTACTTATGTTTATCCGTAGTTTTATCTTTAAGTTGTAAAAAATATTGCCAATATGTCTTCTTGCTGTAAGTAATAATATATTTATTTATCAACAAGCTAAGGGAGAATTTAAACGTTGGTAAAATATACTCAGGCTCAACAACTGGCAGTTTAAATTTTTTTAAACTTATTATAAATTATATAATCGTAATTATATCTTGCTCAAGCTGTAGTATGTTATATTCTTTAATTTTCTAGTTATTTTCTAAAGTAAATACTTTCGAATTAATTTTTCCCTGTTATTTATATGACTGTCCAATCCATGTTTTTGTGGGGTCAAAGGTCAGGGGTTACCAGCGACGATAAATGTTTAGGTCTGAATTGAGGTCGTCTAGTCCCAGGACAAACAATAACAAACCCTTTTTGAACTCCCGCGCTCCCCGGCCAGTTGTTGTGATGACTCATTCCCTGCTGGTGGGACACATTATGTGTTTATTAATTATTCCAAATATTCTATATTTGTCTTTGATCGTAGAAGTACCAAAACAAACAGCCCGACATAGAAAAGCAATTTATTGTAGATGGAAGAAGTCATTAAAATATGTCCGAAGTGGCACATTTAATCGGTCGCTTAATGCACTACCAATTACTTGGTTACAGGCCGCTGGCAGTTTTCGTAATCTGTCATAATTCACACAGAGAACATCATCTTCAGTTTCCACCTTTGCCCTTAAGTGTCGTGGGGAGGAATTATTTGCGATCCATTGTTTGGTGATAGTAATGGCACTGTTCTTCCGTGTTGATGTCGAAGCTCTTTGATGTCATCCACCCATGATGACCTCTTACTTTCACATTAACAACCTTTTATGAACAGGACAGTGTTAAAAATAATAGAAATAATATTACATTCATTACAGGCATTGTTTTTAATAACGTGATTGAATTGAATTATTATTATAATCATCATTCCGTTGTGACATTATATATCACGTAGGGTTCGTTCCATTTGTTTCATATTGTAGTGCCTGTTTTGTTGATTCTCTGCTGGCTACATATAGCGTCACCTTCTTTGCCTTATGACTGCTGACTCCAGTGGTTGTCCAGATTTTTCTATTACTTTTTCACTGAGATACATAAAATATTAATCATCAAAAATATACTCTGTTTAAACTAATACTTCCACTTTCACCACTTCTGCTACTACCACTACTACTACTACTGCTATGACTGCTGCTGCAACTGCTGTTTACTTTTTATGGCTGGGTAAGAATGGGATAAAGTCCACAATTAAAAAGAGCATTATTTACACAGTAATTGGCTCTTGGGGGAGAATCGGAGCTTCAAATGAAATAACAATGAAGAATAATGCAGTATTTGTGTGTGTGTGTTTATTGACCATTACAAATGTTGCACTCAAAATAGTGGCTGTTACTAGTGGCACAGGTAATTTCAGCATTTGTGCTCTTCAAATTCTAAAGGACAATTTCTGAAAGAGGTTTTTGTCTCAGCTAGTTACCTTGTTTGCGCTGTCGCTTCTATCCCACGGTACGCAGGTTTGGAAAGTACACCCTACCAAACAGAGATGTAAGTTCTACCTTACCTCCGCTACATGAAATTAAAGGCGACATCAAAGAGCTTCTACCTAAACAAGGGGTTGTACTACTTTTGTATTTTTATCTTACATTCATACTATGAATTCTGATGTATGAACATAATGTGAGACGTGGCTGCTTGCCCAGTTTGTAACCCTTTTGAATTAAATATCGTTCCTTCGTTCGTTCGCTATCTTGCGGGATACCTCATTAGCACGGAAGAAGAACCCACATTGACCCATAGAAGTAACGACTAAGTTGCTGTCACACACTGAAAGTCAAGTTCGTGGTCTGTTTTAAAGGTCATCTTTAACGCATATCTGACATGGCCATGCGTACTCCATTCTCCTCCTGGTGATGTCACTACCTTGTCTAGGCTACACAACTCTCAATTTGTTCTGGCTGATGTAACCAAGGGTGACTTCCGCATTTTTTCCTGTCTCGCAAGGGTGACTTCCACAATTTTTCCTGTCTCGCAAGGGTGACTTCCGCATTTTTCACTGTCTCGTTGCTCCAGTTGGTATACCCGGAGTATGAAGTCTATTCAGTGAAAAATCACTTACCCCAAAACTGAAAGCCTCACAGCGTTTAGTCTTTCGTATGTCATTGATGATGTATCTCCTGTCCATTGATAACCCATTTCTGATCGTCGCATTGTAAGCCAGAGCGTCTGCTCTCTCATCGCCTTTCACACCAGCATACCCTGGGACAATTCTTCCAAAATTAGAGCATATGATGTCAGTACCATTGCTGCCATCACATGTGTTTCATTGACTCAGCTTCCACTTAGACGTGCTAGGCTCAGTGCGTAGCCTGAACGGATTTATTTTCTCGGTTTTCCCCATCCCGTTTTTGATTTCCCCCTCAATGAAACAGTGTCTATGACATTTTGTTCCCATAAATGCACCACAAATACCCGTATCATTCATGTCCCGCTTGCCTACATCTTTGCATCACAGTAGAAACCAGTCTCGACATCTACCTTTAAAAAAAAAATCTTACACCTCCGACGGGACTCGAACCCGCAATCCCCGGCTTAGGAGGCCGATGCCTTATCCATTAGGCCACGGAGGCATGGTGTATATTTTACCTCACACGTTGAACTGACAGGTTCACAAGCAGGAGCGTAAATGTGCGGTGGTTTCCGTAACGACGTTGTCAAGCCGTTTGCCCCGCGCTCTTGAAGTCGTGGGTTCGATGAGTGCGGCGCCGTTCAGTTCACGAGTGCGAATTTACAGAGATCTCTGGGGTTCGTCACTCCAGCCACGGAGTCTCTTCTCTTTGTGACGCTCTCGGCAGGCGGAATATAAAAAATTAAAAAAAAAAACGGTACAATGAAGCCGATCCTCTCTACTGTAAACTTTATCACATAGGTAAAACACACATGTGAAGTAAGCAAGTCAGGCATGAGTAAATAACAAACAAAAAGCCTAGCGAGGTATTCAGGTCATCGCAGCTGCCACACCAGAGCAGAAGAGTCACCCCAGAGCTGCTCCTTTCCCGAGCCAACACAAACCACACAACCTCCTCTATATGAGGAATGAACAAGCAGACATATTGGCTGGATGAAATGATTTATGACAAGGCAGATGTGACCAAGGCCCTTTAGGAACAACTAACGAAGTCAGAAGAGAAAGTATATTATTATGGCCTGGAGAGAACGACGCACGTGTGTGTGACCAGCGGGTCTGGCCAGCTCACTGCACTCAGAGGAAATATAACTAGACCACGACCGATACCACTAATAGAAATACCCCTGAGTGCTGTGATATCAATTCTTGACTCAACTCAAAAAAAAAAAAACAGAGAATCGTCTCTGCCATTGTCCCTTGTGAATAATAAAACATACAGACTGTATCAGCAAAACCAGAAGCATACACACAAATCACACGCATAAGGCAAACGGCAGAAGTACCATCACTGCAGAGGAAAGGCAGTTCTTCGTTCATGCCGGTCATCATGGCCAACTATGTACGGAATGCATCAAGAGTTCACCGGGATGTTTGGAAAGTACACAGACTGACTGACTGACTTTCTACCCCACCAGGACATCACACAAGCGATAAACACCGGATGACACAATGTGCCACCATTTGGGTGAGGATCACCGTGGAGAGTTCAAAGAAACCTTTAGGCCATATTTATGGCCAGGCTATATTGCGGCCCCTGGCAAAAGCCAGAGTAGGGCTTCAAATAACGAAAAATGTCATGCTGAAAAGGACAAATAGTTATGAAAAACTACACCTCACGTCCATGCACGTTATATTGTAACTACACTGTGGTACCCTAAAATAACTGTTACAAGGCTCGGCGCGGTTTCCCGCCGTTAAGACCCGGAGAAGGCGTTGATATGACTCTCATCCATAAGGTGTTAATGCTACCTACTGAAATTCTGAGAATGGCAAAACAAAAATTTTGAAATTACAAGGGACGCTACCTAAATAGCAATTTGTATCAATTGTTTGAGGTTGCCTCCCTTAGAAATGTTTATATTATCTAGAATCGTTTGTCTACTGCTGTTTAGCTAATATCCGATTTCGTCATTTTTAGGACGAAATTTTTTGTCATTTGAAGCCCTACTCTGGCTTTTGCCAGGGGCCGCAATATAGGCAGGCCATACATATGGCCAAATGTCTGAACGCGGTTTCTGGGACCTCTCCACGGCGATCCTCATCCGCATGGTGGCACTTTGTGTCATCGGGTGTTTATCGCTTGTGTGATGTCCTAGTGGGGTAGAAAAGTCAGTCAGTCGTCGTCTACTGCTGTAACATGGAAATTTATTTTTAACGGCACACTCAGCGATTTTCTTTTTTATGCCATGTGGCCTTCTTAGTCGTGTCTAACCATAAACTTCTGTCAGGATTAGGTTAGTAAGTTAATCGAAAGATTATCCTGGTTGCAAATGGGATAAGTCTATAAGCGCTCAGATCCAACCTTCAATATACCTCAGCGTGTGGTGACTGATAACATTAATGTTGTGTCAATTTACTATTTTTTGGGGCTACCTGTTTAGTGTTCATGTTTGAAGACAGTTCCTTTGACCTGAACTTCTTGTAGTCTTCTGAGTGTTGCCGATTCAAAATCG